ATTTATTATATTTTTAATTTTTATAGATAAAACAAACCCATTAAAAAAATGTTGTATAAATTGTTAAAACAAGTGGGGTCCAGAGATTAACAATCCCAAATGCTTTAGAGTTGTTAAGTTGAAAAATCGAGAAAAAAAATTGTGTAATTAAACACAATATGCCCTACTTTAACCGCCAGTAATTGGTTTCTAGTTTTAAATTGGATAATCGAACATGTTGTGTTCAAAACTTCAAACACGTGTTTTCTCTAACATGCGAATCAATTATTGAACTGTAAACTTTCACATAAATGACGGTTTGGGTGTACCTTACATAAAAAAACTGAGAAAAAAACAATAAAAGGAAAAAGAAACAATGTGTTTAAATATAGTATTACGTGACCCCACTAAAAAAATATAGTTAAGTAATTTGCAAATCAATCTTTTAAAAAAATGGAATCATTTTGCATTGGATTCCTTACAAGCTTCTGCATGTGTTGCTTATATTTAGAGATTTAGTGAAGAAGTTCAGTGTTTTGACTGAGTAAATTAGGTTCGTTTATGGATGACTGAGTAAATTAGGTTCGTTTATGGAGGGTAGCCAGTTTGGCCAAATAATTTAGTGCTTCTAGATTTGCGTTAACCAAATCATAAACTATACTAACAACGGTTAATTCTAGTGGAATGAGTTCAGTTTTTTTTTAAATAAAATTTTAAATTTAAGTCTTGTGAATAAAGAAACCAATGTTGTGAGAGCTTTTTTCGTATGTTGTTTGACACAGTTCAATTTTAAATTAATCGAATCTAATATAACTTTTAAATATTAGAGATTAATACTAAAAAAAATCAACCATAGACTTATATCAATGTGATGTGCAGGTGAATGGTGGGGGCAGGAACAATGTTATTGTTGGGTTGAGCAATTGGGCCCAATTAAGATTCTTGAATTAAAACTCCATATGTAAAGAAATCATCCTAAATCCAAAACACTAGCTTTTATCAGTCCCCTCAGATTGAAGTGACCTCTGCCCAAGATGACTGTTCTTTTTTTTTACATTGGAGATTAAATGTTTAATATTCTAAAATTTAAAATTTTTAACTTTAATTTTTAATTAAAAATTTTAAATTAATAAATATTAACTTAACCAAACTCTGGTAAGTGTCTTCCCTCGATGAAGTTCTAATCAATCAATTGGTTGGGCTTTAAACACTTGGAGCTGGGGTGTTAGTTTTTCTTTTTGGATCAGCATTACCCAACAGAAGGCCCAATAGGGCGATACGCCTCACCCTTTCAATCGTTTTGTCTCACAACCCAACCAGACGTTAAATTGGCCCAATTTATGCTATGAAGTATGAGGTCGAAGAAATAATTATCTTGAGTGCCATTTACTTCATGTTACGCTTTTGTAGCATTTTTGTTTGGGTTCAATATATGGATCGTTTCATATCTCTCGGCATCATTGTCTAAAGTGCTATATTTTGTTAAATATGCTCGAGTTGGGTTGGGCTTGAATTGAGTAGTTTGTGAGTTAGTCAACTTACTAATAGTCTTAGTTAATAGTCCTACAAAAAATCGATAAATAGGAAAAAAAAAAATTCAACACATACTTCTGCAAACATTTCCATTAGGCCAAATAAATTTATGGATTTCTAATTTTCCATCAATCCTTATAGGTGAATAAATGGAGAAGATGGCCTAAACCTAGTCCACTCATTTTTCTAGCTTGAGCAATTTCGAACCCAATAAATTTGTTTTTTCAGTTCAATAAAACAAATAGCAACCAGCAACTTGGGCAGTTGGCATCCTCACATGGCTAAGTATAGGTAAAAATTTATTTTTAACCCCTTACCTTATCAAATTTAATGGTTTTAATCCCTTACCTTATATTTTGACACTTTTAACCCCTCACCTTATTAGATTTATAGGTTTTAACTCATTTTATATTATGACACTTTTAACCTCTCACCTATTAAAATTGAAAAAAATAACTCTCACTTTGTAACATTTTGTTAATTCTGTTAGCTGACTGTTAACTTTATTAACTGACTGTTAGTTGACTGTTAATTGACAAAAACCTTCTTTTAATTAACAGGGTTAACAAAATTAACTTTATAATATTTCATTTATTTTGTTAACTAACTATTAATTAACTATTAGTTCACAAAAATTTACTTTCAATTAATAGAGTTAATAGTCAGTATAAAGTAATGGTTATTTTTTTCGATTTTAATATGTGACGAGCTAAAACTTATAAATCTAGTAAGATGAGGGGTTAAAAATGTTATAGTATAAGATAAGGGTTAAAACTTTCAAATTTAGTAAGGTGAGAGTTAAAAATAAGTTTTTGCCAAATAAAAATATATGTTTCGAAGCTTAAAAAATAAGGTGGCATATCTTTGTCTCTATGACGCTAATTACTATTGAGATGGTACTACTTGTTGGGTTTAGGTGTTAGGTGTTAGGTCATCCTTACCAATTATTCTACTCAAAAGCTAAAAAAACAAAAACGCAAATTAATTATTTTACATATATAACAATTGAAGACCACAATTGCCTTTAGCATATTAAGTGCAATTCAATGCCTAAGATAAACATACCAACCAGCCCTTGAGAGGGCAAGCTGCCAACTCCTTTTTCCTCCTCTTGAATATCCGCCATGAATCCATGATAATGACCTATGTGCACTTGCATCGCAATTCAATCATTGGGGAATTATCCGTCCTTGTTTGATAGTGATTTCATACTTACCTCCAAAGTTAATCTAGCTACTTCCTTGTTAATAATTTTAAGATTGGATAGATCTAATCAAAATTCTTGGTATTGGTTTAGTGAAAAGGAATTAATCTTTTAATACAAGATTGGTATGTATGAGATCCACCACACACAAATTTTTTAAAATAGTTAGAGAACTTCTAGGTTTAAAACACAATTAGCTAAACCTTTTAGGATAATAGGTGTTTCTATCCTTTGTTTTTTTTAAAAAAAAAAAAAAAAAAACCTCATATCCGTTGGTTAAATTCTGATCCATTTAGCCCTATATCTATATGGGCCAACATGGGCTAATATGTCAAAACACGAAAATATTCTCTTAAAACAAAAACGACAAGGGGAATACATCTAAAACGGCAACTACACAGCTAGTGTCACTAATCCGACGTCGTTATTGGACAATAACCACACCAACGCTGCCACTGCCCCGACCCCGAGCACGACCAACCTCTGTTTCTTCCCTTTTCCTCTCGAATCGAAAACCAATTCTCCCTCCCTCTCTCCCAAACCCTACCCTAAAAAAATTTGCCCAAATCGCCATTTCGATTTCCATCGATCAGACCGTAAAATCGCTCCGTCGAAGTTCTAGGGTTTCCGTTTCCGATTATCGAATCCACCACCTGCGATGGCGGCTTCGTGTTTCGGTTGATTTATCGGAAACGGAGAGAGAGCTGATTAAGCGCGGTTGGTTGTTTGAGCTGAATGGCGGAAGCTTCCCGGGGCAAGGTCACCATTACTCTCGGCCGTGGTAGCACTAGCAAGGTATTCGTTTTCTTCTTCTTTCTTCCTTCTTCTGTTTTTAAATGCTAGTATGGTTATTACCGCTGATCAGTTTGAGTTTTAGGTTTTGCTTGAGTTCTGTTTGGTTGCCAATAAAATACTGGAAATTTTTGGATTTGATATGCTAAGCTCGAGCTGCTGCTTTATTTATTTAAGTGTTCTTCTTGATTACTGTAGACTGGGATGCTGATTTTATTTTTGTGTTTAGGTTGTGAAGAGAGCTGCAGATATTCCAGATGATGATTTTTTCGATTCTCGACCTGTTTCTGGGAGCAAGCGGTCTGTAAGAGATAGATTAGGAAGTAATGTAGATAGTTCTTTGTTGCATGCCAGCCAGGTCAATAATAAGCGGTGTGTTTCTTTGCAGTATTTAAGTTCTTTCTTTGCTGCCTAGAAGATTGTTTATGTTGTATATGTAGATTTGAAAATATGCACATTTTGTTTAGGGTTCATTTTGAAGGTTGAAATAGCAATATTTTTTCAGTCACAAAGCCAAAATCTTTGTCTTTGAAGGGTGCATTCTGTGTGCTTATGCCTGTTAGAGTGTTAAATAATTTTGCTCATATAGAAGTTATAGTTCTGTTTTGCCTTTTTTGCTTTTTCAGTCAAAGAGGAGATGGGTATGGTGCTAATGGAGTGGATGGTATTAAGCTTAACCCTATGATTGCGGCATATTTTAGTTTGTGATTTTGAACTTATTCTGTGATTGCTGACATTGTTACTCTTGAATAACTCTAGACGTTCACATTGGTAAAGATGACCTTCGCTTAAAACTCATGCGAAAAAATGGTTTTAGACAAGCTCAGAGTGATGATAACCAGGACATGGACCTCCGTGAAAAGCTGTCAAGAGTTGGCCGGCCTCTGCTTAATAATAGTTATGATACACAGAAGCGTATGCCTGAGTTGAGGGAAAATAGTATCCTGGCGAGATTTCCTTCTTCTAGGAATGCTGATGTTTTGCCTCAGATGGACTCATCAAGAAGTTCTTATTCTCCTTGGACTTTGGATCATTTAAGACGAAGATCCCCAGACAAAGTAATGTGTGCTTCTCAGGGTTTATCCCCTCCAAGGAATGTTGAAGAGCTTCAGAGAAGGCCAATAAATAGGACATATGATGATGTGAGAGCAGTCAGAGCCGTTCCATATATGAGCAAAGATGTTCTTGAGGCTCCAAGGTCTGTGGGAGCATCACCTTTTGTTACAAAGCCAACAATGCCTAATGCTCCCCTTAAGCCTGCACCACCTGGCCCACCACTTCTGAATCAAATTCTGCCTCCAAGCAGCATTGTGCCAAAACCTCCATACCCTGTATGAACTACTTGACTTACTCTTGCTATTTGATATGTTATTCGTGCATTTCTGTTTCTTTCTTTTCCATAGCATATTTTCTTGGAGAGTTGATTGCTAGGACTATGTGCTGCTCATATTGATTAAATGAATTTGTTGTTTACATATAAATTGTTGGAAATTTTTTTACCAAACTTGCACTTCCAAAGCAGGGATGTGTCAACAAAAGTTGCCCGTTAAGAGAACAAGAAAATTGATGGCATGTGTATATTATTTTTATCTAATATGTCTTGTCTCATCAAAAGCAAGAAAGGGTATTATTTGTAGTCTATGCCTATGTGTATAGTTGTTTACTTGATCATAAGAAAGGAAGTCATCATGGTTCTGTGAAACATTTTAGAATTATTAATTAAGCTGGCTATTTTCTGTGAGCAAAAAAGGGCATTCATTTCTATCCAGGCACTTCCACTCCAAATTTATTCATGTTCTGCAACCTTAATCAGTTGTGGATGTTAAACCCAATCCTTATAACCAAAAAATACTGAATTCATTTTCATTTTTTATATGCTTTGCTAGCAGTTCATCACAATAATAACTTAGATGGTCAATGATAGTTCTAAAGCTACGTTTTTTCATAGACTAAGAAATTCTTGGTCACATACAACCAAAATGTCTATCCACTTTGTTAGTTTTTCTTTTTCTTTTTTGGCCAGGACTTTGTTAAATCTTTGAAATGTCTATTGCAAAGCTGTGTGACACTCAGAGGTGGCAATGTATCTGGCAGTTTTTTGTTGGCATTATTGTCTGGTTGCTTTGGAATAACATGCCTAAGATAGTTAAACAAAGAGAATTTGATATATTAGACAAGAATATGTTCTCTGGGTACTGTCCCGTGACAATGATAGTTTTATGCTATTTGTTTTACTGTTTCTGCTTAATCATGGAACATCATGTGAACAAGAAGACTCTCCTTCACACTTATCTGCCTATGTGTAATTCACAAAGAGCTGGTTACTTACATTTATTTTCTTTCATTTCTCCTCTTTTTCTGGTTACCGTATAGGGTGAGGAACAGCAAACTGTTGATGGATTTTTGCATTTGCTTGGGCTGGAAAAATATGCCCATAAGTTTAACTCTGAGGAAGTAAGCTATCTACCCTATCCTTTGGTTGAATCCTTTTAGTGTAAGGAAAATTTTGTGTTTGGTGCACTAAAGAGCAACCAAGAGAAGGATATGGATGCATTTACATCTTGATTTTATTTTATTTGTTGACAGTTCTCATTCTTATTTATTCATTTGTTTGTATCTGTGAGGTGCATCTATAAAGATGAACAGGGCTGCTGCTATAAACCCTGTGCTTTGATAGTTTTGCGAAGAGGAGCATCTAGGGGGAGTTTGACTGTTATTTTTGTGTAGACCAAATATAAATACTTTCTTAGTTTTAGTGGGTGCTTCTGTTGACCTGTTACATTTTATGAACTTTATGAATTTACTCTGGTTTATAATTGATATTTGGAGTTTCCTGGCTTGATGATTTCAATTAGAAAATGGCTTTCTAGCTGGTCTTGTGTTCTCCAGTCTTGTAGTTCATATGATATCTGATACATCTGGTTTCTCACTCAGGTGGATATGACTGCATTGAGACAGATGGGGGAGAATGACCTCAAAGAACTTGGGATACCTATGGTATTTTTTCATTCTCTATTCTTATCTTATTTAGTGTTCCATCTTTTTTTGTGCCAAGGTTTCCTACATGTTTGATGTGTCTAAGTTTCAAATCAATTCTTAAATCCCAATGTTTAATTAATTGAAATTTCCAATCAGAGTTGTTTAAGATTCTGGTGATTGAATAATAAATTTAGATCAGTGGGTTTGGTCCAACAATTGAGCATTGAGGACCATTTATCTTTTGCCCAGTTATTTCTTTGACCGGACTAAGCAGTTTATGAGTTGTGGTTTTCATTGTGATATTCGTTGCATAGAAAAGTCCTTTGGCTATTCATAGATGTGGTTTGAGTCAATTTTGTAGCTGGGACTTGGATGGTAAGCAATAGGAGATTAGTCCAGTCATATGCCAGGTTAGATTGAAATTGTACTGTTCATTAATAAACCTTCATGCGAAAACAATTTACCATTCTGTTTTACTTTATCTCTCTGGGGAATAAGATCTAAGTATAGGTGTTATTTACTTAATCATGAAGACATATGGACACTTTAGGTTGGTTGTTTCTAAAGATAGTTTCAAATTGCAGGGTCCAAGGAAAAAGATTCTTCTTGCTCTCTTGCCCCGTACCAAGCGGCCACAACCTTGATGTTTGTAGTGGCAAAGCCAGAACAAATTTGGATCATTAGTTTGATGTCTATGATAGAGACAGATATTCGTGAATCTTGTCAAAAAAGTAACACTTTTGTATCTTCAAATTGGATAACATTGGGTTAGAAAGTAACTATGATTAATCCACATTTTTGTGTCTAAAACTGGCTAATTTTAGTAGGTATCAGAATAATTTGTTGATGCAGAAAGTGTTAAAAGTGAATACCATTTTTATTTCTCTTCCATCCTCTGCCTCTGAGATATTTCCTTGCGATTTTTATTTAACCGAGCATGTTTATACTTATTTTTACCTGATAGCATGGGTGTTTAAGTCATTGGGCCAACAAGTCATACTGAAAACACATGTTCAAATTGCTCTCTAAGACTAGTTGCCCCAATGGTAAACAACCACGGCTGCAACTAGTCTTAGAGAGCAATTTGAACATGTGTTTTCAGCATAGTTAACATCTCTCCTTACAGGCTGAGAATGAATTGTTCTGATCTAAAGCTCTGCATTTTACCCATGTTCTTCCATCTTTGGGGCTTAAACTTCAAAGTTCTAATGATTAGTTTTGAACTGTAAAATAAGAAATTTTCTCTTCTTGTTCTGCCTTTTAGCAACTTGTCTTCATTTATTTCCTTCCTAGAGGTTTTTTACCTGCCAGTGCCACTTTTTATGTTCATCGTTTTTCAATATTTTTTGTTTTGTTAAGGAAGGTTAAGATTGACTATACACATGGTGCGGCAACTATGCGGTTCTAGGTCTTCTGGGTTTGGTCTCCATTAGGGGGTTTGAATGTGTTGGAGAAATTAAGAGTATGTTGGGGTTTAAATGAATTTTTATGAAAATATCTGCAAAATTAGTTGTGTTTGGTTTAAATGAATTTCTTTGAAGGAAAACCAATATTGTGAATCTAATGGGGTTGGTCCAAGGTGGTTGTTAAATAAAGGAAAATGATATGATTGACAAAAAAAAACTGCAACAAATTTTTTGTGGCCATTGATCATGTAACTTGTCATCCTAAAATTTGATCTCATAAATGTCTAGCGATATTTGCTCCCAAAAAAAGTTACAATAATAAAGAGAAACGACTGCACTGCATTTGTTTTTTTTTTTTTTTTTTTGTATGGGTCACCTGGTATATGAAAGCCCATTGGACTATCGAGTAATTCTAGTTCGAGCCAAGTAAGATCCAATGGGCGGCAAATGTCTCCTTCACCAGTTTTAATGGAACTGCATTTCCAAGATTTGAAACCAATACTTTTAATTAAACTGGAAGAGTTTCTTATCAACTCATCATTTGCTCGTAGGTTACACTACATTTGTTTTCTTCAAGAGAAAATGCCTTAACCTATGAAAAAAGATTTGTTCCGGCTTAAATCTTGAACTTTCATTAAAGTTAAAGGACTCAAATCGTAATTCAGACATAAAAAATGAACAACTTCATTTCACTGTCCAAAACCAAAGACAACCATGGAAAGCCATCCATAGGATTCCAATTTTGTTCTACTGTTCCAAGCACGTGGAGAACTGGTAAGCACAATTTCCTCGCAACTTCTCTTTTCCCTTTCGAAGCCACGAATTTGGTTCCTTTTGACATTTTCTAAATCATTTATTCAAAGTTCAAACCCACGAAGCTGCTTTAGGATTTGTTTTTTCTCATTTTTCATATTTATGTTGATTAGGACTAAAATTGCAAATCACTTTTGAGCCTGATAATCTTTGCTTTATGAGAAATGCGGTTATCCTCCATCTAATTTGGTCAATAATGTACAAAATGCAACATTAATAATCATGCTAAAGCCCACCTGAGATTTATATGCTTGCTTCCTTTTCCTTTGTTTGCTTCACATTTAGTTGACGGAATTTTCATCTTATAGGCTGCAATTTAGTAATATTTTTTTTTCTTTTACAAATATAGGTGTTATGAATTTTTTTTTCATTAGTTGATGGGTTATATAATAAAAAATATTTTTTTAAAAAAACTTTTTTTTACTCATATCAGAATTTACAATTAAAATTTTAAATATGAAAATTTAAATTCTTAATCATTAAAATGTTGATAGAGAACACATGCTTTGGGATTTTAATTGTAATGACAACATAAACACTTGAAAAAGATGTGAAACATCAAAGAAAAGTATTACTTCTAGTCGCATAACCCATCTATTAAAAAAAAAGAAAGAAAGAAAGAAAGAGAAAATCTCATTGTTAATTAATTTTTTTTTTATGGACCACCAGTATTCGGAAGCCCATTGAGCGATCAATTAATCTGGGTTTGAGATGGACAGGATTTAATGGACGGTAAAACTCTCATTTACGAGTTTTAATGAAACTGCATTTCGAGAACTTGAAACCAAAACCTCTAATTAAATCAAAAGAATCCTTTATTAAGTCATCCACTTGCTCATGGGTCTCATTGTTAATTAGTTTTTCCTTTTTTTTATGGACCACCAGCATCCAAAAATCTATTAGGTTACCATTAATTTGGGTTTAAGATGGGTATGACTCAATGGACGGCAAAACTCTTCTTATAAGTTTTAATGGAGATGCATTCTGAGAACTTAAAACCAAAACTTCTAATTAAACTGAAAAAATCCCCTATTAATTCATCCGCCTGGGTTTCATTGTTAATTAGTGAAACTAACAAAAATGTGGATTCTCTCTCTCTCTTCTATTTCTTACTGTTTATTTTTTCACTTTTCTTGATGTTTTCATGAGTTTTCCCGCTAACCTAAATAGTTGCCACAAGGCCTTGACATATTCAAATGTAAAACTAACTTCCCACTAGCTAGATCATTGGATGAATTTTCCTGGTGCTTTCTATTCTACACCCAACTGACATGACTGCGAATCATTTTTGACCAATATATCCGACTTCGCTGCTGTATATTTATTCTCTTTTATCACTCCAAAGTCCCAACTATTTAACTTCAATACATCAATGCCCACCGATTGAATGCAAAAGGTTCTAAGAGCATGTTCAACAAAAAATAATAAGAAAATTTTATTTTGATGTCATATTATTATAATTAATATAAATTTGTATTTTAAATATAATTAATTTTTAAATAAACTATTTAATAGAACATTTTTTCACCCATGCATATACTTAAATAGAGTTCTGTTAAAAATTATATTAATATTATTTTATTTAACCTACTTAATAACAAAAAAATAAAATTGAAAAAAACATGTTACAAATGATAGTTGTTGAATCAATTTGATCCAACAGAAAGAATTGGAATTTGGAGTGAGACAATGCATATTCCCATAAGACTAATTAAAACTAATTTTAAAAAGTAATAAAAAAAAAAAGGGGAGAGAGAATTGTCTCTATACAAAGAGAGCTCTATTCTAATATAGAGTTTCAATATAATTTCAGTAATTTGAAGTTAATTCATCTTTATTTTATTTTTATAAAAAACAATTAAAAAAAACTTTCATTATACATATGTTAAGTAAATTTTCATTGTTAGAATGTTTCTTTTTTTCTTTTTTTGAAATGTCAACTTAAAACCGTAATCTTAATTTTAAAACATTAAAACATGAATAAAAAAGCGTTGACATTCTACAAAAAACGCACATATATTCAGGATCAAATGTTTGTGACGAGCGTATCTATCTTTAGTTTCCCTTCACACATTTAGGATCCAAATGTCAAGCCCTTCTGTACTTAGTCGTATGTTCCATAAGTGGGCACCAATTAGCTTAAGGCAAAAAAATAAAAAAATAAAAAGGAAAGAAGCTTTCGTGTTCATTGTTCATAAGCAACATCCTATATACAAACAATGCCTTCACTAAAATTTTATTAGTAGCACTAGCTAGCTTTAATCTGAATCTAACTAATAATTATGCACATTAATATTGTTGTCGGCCTGGTCAACCTTGGCATTCTATGAGGGATTGTTTAAGAATTAATTTAGAGAGCTGCTCAGAAGAGAACAAGAAATAGACTTACAATAGATTGGAGGAGGAATTGGGGGTTGATGATGGTAGGGGCCACCTTATTGATAATCCTCAATCAAGCCCTGGATAAATGAAATGAAATGAAACGAGCTAAAAATCAATCAACCAAAAAAATTAAAGCAAACCAACCTACCCAACTATCCACCTTAATTCAATCTTCCACCAGAAAATTGAATTAGTCAGCCTGTATTATGGGTTAATTAATTTTCGAATTCAAATAACATGCAAAATTCATCACTTATAAACTATTAAAGATTTGTTATTTACGTCAAAATTATAAAATTTATAAATAATTATTTTTTTA